CCCTGAACCCTAAAACCCCAAAGCCCAAGACCCGAAGCGTCATCGCAGGCGGCAAGTTGCCGGAGTCCCTCGGCCGGAAGATGGACGGTAATATTTTAAGGCTTTAGGGTTTAGGGTCTAGAGGGTTTATAGGGCTTATAGGGTGTATAGGGTTTATAGGGTTTAGGGTTTAGGGTTTAGGGTTACCTTCCTCAAGCATCGCCATTTGGGAGTTTCCGAAAATTAGGGGTACCTTATTTTGGGGTCCTTATAATAAGGATCCTACTATTTAGGGTACTATATTAGGGTCCCCTATTTCGGAAACCCCCCATATAGAAGCTTAAAAAGTTACCTATACTACTTTTTGGGTGTTCCTTATTATTCTGATTGTAGTATAATATACCCCAAAGGCACATTCTAACTATTAAGGCCCCTTTCGGGGGTTCCTTAGTAGAACTGTAGTAGAATGTAGGGGTTTTGGGCGCCTCTTCAGAAAGATATTAGAAAACCTATTCTTCAGGGTCTCGGCCAGTGTCAGTTTTCGAGGACCCCTGGAAACTTCGAGGGATTGCGTTGTGTTGGAGCCGGTGGTTCGAGAAGACATTTTGAGAGTTCCAATTCTGCTACAATGTCGCAGCTAACAAATGAGGTCGAGGTCTTCAGCCGAGCGAATCAGCAAGGTTGCTGAAGTTCTTGCTTCAGGGGTTCGGGCCCTGCTGGAAGTTCGCCAGTAGTGTTGGTGCATGGTCTTTGAGTTGCAAGTATGTTGAAGCAGCGAACCATCCATCCGGATTATGACGCTTTAGAACAACAAGAGATTTAGAGCATCATCAGCAGCAACAACGACAAGAGCAGCATTCAAAGTCGTAACAATACAGCCGATAGTAACACTCCAAGTAACAGTTGTGCAGTGGTGGTGATGGTGGGGGTGGTGGTGGGTGGTGGTGGTGGTGGTGCTGGGTGGTTTTTGTGGTGGTGGTGGTGGTGATGGTGGTGGTGGTGGTGGTGGTCCTCGTCGCATGCAGTAGCAATAGCAGTCGCCCTCCTCGTCCTCGTCCCGACAGCATCGTCGTCCTCGTCGTCCTCGTCGTCGTGATAGTGGGAATGATCGTGACCATGACGATGCCCTAAACCCTAAACCCTAAACCCTAAACCCTAAACCTTAAACCGGTCTCAGGACAGGTACAGCCCCTGCCTCGTGGTGCGGCTGACCAAGGCGTCCCGCCATCCCGGTTCCTCGATGAGAAATTCCCAGAGAGCCCAACTTACCTCTTAAATAAGGAATATACCTTAAACTATAGGGGCCCTTAAAGGGATCTATAAGGGGTTAGGGTTTAGGGTTAAGGAATACACCTTAAATTATAGGGGCGTTCATATTATGATTTAAGGTATATTCCTTAATTAAGGGGTCCCTTGGGCTCTCTGGGTTTTGGGTTGAAAGGATCGAGGAAGGCGGTTTAGAAAGCAGGGCAGTTGAGGCGTGGTTTTGGGCAGATTTTTGGGCCGTTTCGGCAAGACTCCTGAACGTTTGTGTCTCCTGTGTTTCGGCTTCGGCGCTTCGTGCTCAACTACCATACGACGCGCTGCTTGCCAAAAGCCAAGATGCCTGGAAGACGGTGTTCAAGGAGACCTGGCAGCACAAGCTGATGGTCAAGGAGCCCCGCGCTTCAGCTGTCCCAGACCCAGCAAAGTCCGAGCTTGCCAGTCCTCATTCCATGGATCGATGGATGGCAACCAAATAAACCCTAAACCCTAAAACCCTACAACCCTGAAGCCCTAAACCCCTAAAACCCTAAAACCCTAAAGCCCTAAACCCCTAAACCCCTAAAGCCCTAAACCCTAAAACTCGACAAAGGGAGTGCCATCCCAACTTAAAAAAAAGCCCTAAAGCCCTAAACCCCTATAACCCTAAAGCCCCAAGCCCGGAGTCGACAGGAGCTCGGGCCTTTCGGCCCGGAGCACTTTGAAGGGATGAGCGGCGGGAAGACCTACCTGCGCGCAGGACCCTGGGTCAAGCTTGGAGGATCATGGGGCTTAGTAAGTAAGGTTATAAGTACCCCTAATTGGGGTTATAAGTATAGTTACCTTATTTATAACCCTGGTTACTAAGTCCCATGATCCTCCAAGAGGGCATTTCGTGGCTTAAGGGGTGGCGAGCGTGTGGGGTGCTGGGATGCTGACGATGCTGACGTCGGATGAAGCTCACCACCCACTGCCACAGCCCCACAGCTTTACTTTCACAAGCATCCGAAGCAGGCTACAACCTGGATGAGCCCGACTTTTGGGCCAACGTAGCCCGGCGGAATCAATCAGGTTTGCTTCCGGTTCCGGGGTTTCTTCCACATGGCTCTACCGGGACCAGGGTTTCCAGGAGCCGTGGGGGCGTTTCTTGTGTTGTGTCTACCTTTCCTGAGTTCTTTTTCGGGCGAGTAGCTTCGGAGATTCATTCTACTTGGAGGATCATGGGACTTAGTAACTAGGGTTATGAACAAGGTAACTATAATTATAACCCCAGTTAGGGTACTTATAATCTTACTTACTAAGTCCCATGATCCTCCAAGTATGCATACACAGAACCCCTTAATTAAGGAATATACCTTAAATCCTAATATTAAGGCCCCTATAGTTTAAGGCTATAATCCTTACTTAAGGGGTAGGTTGGGCTCTCTGGGGAGCTTGTTCAGAAGGCTCCAGCTTCGTCATGGCACCTGCTGCCCTCAGTCCGGCAGAACCCGAACCGTGTGCAGGCCCGATATTCTGAAGTCCGGGACCCATCTCCAGAAACGGAACCAGTTGAACTTTCTTCCCTGAGCTGCTTGTAAGGTGGACAACTATGCCTTCACAACGATGAAGCAGTCCGGCTACACCTCGGCGCCCAAGAAGCTCGTAGCGTAGCACTCTCCGAGCGCCACGCGCGCCGAGTACAACTCCGGGCCCAGAAAAGCAGCTGAAGAAAGCTTGCTTGAACTTTGAAAGACAGAGAAGTGAAACCCGAACTCCGGCAAGCCCAAACCCCCCCAAAGTGGGATAGATAAGTTCCCAGAGTCAATCAGATGCTAATGCCGTGGATGCCTCTGTCCCTAAGCCCTCACCTCCGGAGCCCTAAGCCCGACCCTGGCATCTGCGACCCTGAGCTTGAAGCCAAATTTGAGGAGCCTGAGCCTAAACATTATTAGTCCGCACGTCTTTGATGCTGGAGCTATGTGAAGATACACGATTTCTTGCAGCCCTGAACTTTTGGCCCTAGATCCCTTCGGCTGCAATGCTTTGATATTCTTTGCTTCATTGCTTGCTGTTTTCATGCGTTCGAATAGATCTGCATCGTAACAAGCCGCAGTGGAGCTGCTTAGCCCGAGTCTGACCCTCCCCCTCCATTACGTGGGTTGCTATCGTCGACCCTCAATTCTAAAATTGAAGGGTCGCATCTGCCTTCGGGGCCCGGGTGCAAAAAGATCGGCTGCTGCCCGAGGACGAGCATCTGGGAAGCCAGAGTCCCATCTGGTAGTGGAATGATCTTGGTATTGCAGTAGGGGTGCTGCAGCTGTACAGCTGCTGCTATTACTAGGCCCGCTCCTAACCGCATCAATCAGCAATAAAGGTGCTACTCCTCCTGCTACTGGCGCTACTAGGCTGCTAGTGCTGTTGGTGCTGGTACTACTAGCACTGCAGCTGCTCTCCGGAGAGGACGATGCCTACGGCAAGTTAGTTTCCCTCCGTGTGCACTATATCTCTGTCTTCTTGTGGGTGTGCTCTTGGTTACAGTGCTGGCATCAGCATTCACCCTAAACCCTAAACCCTAAACCCCAAACCCTAAACCCTAAACCCCAAACCCTAAACCCTAAACCCTAAACCCATGACCATCAAACCCCGAGCCCAAGCTTCGTCTTCGGATGGCAGGGGCGAATTTCGACACTCGCTTCCCAGAGAGCCCAACTTACCCCTTAAGTAAGGAATAGACCTTAAAACATCGGGTTAAGGAATATACCTTAAAATATAGGGGCCCTAAATATTATGATTTAAGGTATATTCCCTAATTAAGGGGTATTGGGATCTCTGGGTTGTCTTCCGGGCTGCTCAGAAAAGAGAGCGTGCGGCTTGAGGGCACGCTGGGGTGATAGTTTCGGGTTCAAGGGTTTTAAGGCCTGCGGCGAAACCCACAATGGGGTGATTCGATGTTTGATTATTCTCAGTTTTCATTCGTTGTAAGGCTAGGGACAGTGCCGTCATCATCGTTCTCATGGCTGCATGCATGCTTGCTGAGAACCGCAGAGCTTTCTTCAGTTGTCAGACTCGATTGGCAAGACCTGCTACAGCCTCCCACGCAGACGGAGGACAGAAACAAGAACAGGCCTTCATCCCGGCATGAAATCCGTCTCATACGAAGGAACCCCTCAAATCTCTCTTTGCCCTGCTCCCTAAACCCTAGACCCTGAACCCTAAACCCTAAACCCTGAACCCTAAAACCCTAAAGCCCTAAAAAGCCCCTCATATTCCGAAGACCCCCGCATCTCCGCGCAGAAGCACCGCGCGCCAGCCCGCCGAGGACCGGGTCGTTCTGAAAGCCGCTGCCGTCTTCCGCGGAAAGCTCCGCGGCCGCGGCGCGAAGGCATTACTATAGGGGCCTTTACTAAGTATACCTATACTATTTTGGGCGTTCCTTATAATATTCGTACTATAATGGGCCCCAAAACCCTATTCTAATCATTAAGGCCCCTGCGTTATTCAGAGGGCTTTGACTTGGGGGCTGGTTTAGCATGTGCGGCTGCTGAGCTATCGTAACTAACGAATTAGAATCGGATCCAGTGAAGAACTCGCATTTAGGCAGGACGTGCTTCTTTCCTTTGCCTAATCTCTGGCCCGCTTCATCAGCACCCAAATTGGGGAGTGGGCATCAGGCCGTTTCAGGCTGTCTTGGTGAATTTGGAAGGCTGGAAGACGGGAATGTTGGCCTTGCTCTTGCGGTTGTTGGAGACCCCTGAGAGCCTGAGGGTTGGAGGAATAAGCCAGGTTTGACTTCTGCTTCATGGAGGGTTGTTTTTTCGGCTGAAGTTCTAAATTATCGGGGTGATTCGGATTGAGATTGGCAACATGGGGTTTAGGGCTCATGGAGGATTTCGTGGATTGAGAGCTGTATTACTTGCTTCTCCATGTCTCCCTGTGATCTCTGCAGCACCTGGTCTGCCTAAAGGCTGGTCAGAAATGCGACTCTACAAATGTTCTTTTGTTCGTGCCGGCTTTAGTTTCGCCTCCGACCCCTTGGCCTGGGGGGGGTGGGAGGGGTTGCGCCTGTTTAAGAGCCTTGAGGCTGTGAAGGTTTTCGGGCTCAGGGCTCTTTTGGGTGCAGCCCATCTCAGCTCGAAGCAACCCCTCAACCCCTAAACCTTAAACCCTAAACCCCAAACCCCAAACCCTTCAACCCCTAAACCCCAAACCCTAAACCCCTCAACCAATGACCCTAACCCCTAAACCCTAAACCCCTACACCCCTAAACCCCTAAACCCCAAGCCCCTAAACCCTAAACCCCCCAAACCCCTCAACCCCTCAACCCTAAACCCCTAAACCCTATCAACCCTAAACCCCTAAACCCTCAACCCCTGAACGCCTCAACCCCCTCAACCCGAAGCCGACGAGTTGCGGCCAGGAGCCGGCAGGCGATCACGGGGATCCAACGAGGCGAAGGGAGGTTGCACCATGCATGGTTTCGGGTTTAGGGGTTTAGGGGTTGAGAGTTTAGGGTTTAGGGTTTAGGGGTTTGGGGCTAGGGGTTAGGGGGTTTATGGGCTTAGGGTTGAGGGTTTAGGGGTTTAGGGGTTTGGGGGTTAGGGTTTAGGATTTTAGGGGTTTAGGGGTTGAGGGTTTAGGGGTTTAGGGGCTGGGGATTAGGGGGTTTATGGGCTTAGGGTTTAGGGGTTGAAGGGTTTAGGGTTTAGGGTTTAGGGTTTAGTTTAGGGTTTATGGGCTTAGGGTTTAGGGGTTTACGGGTTTAGGGTTTAGGGTTTAGGGGCTTGGGGTTTAGGATTTAGGGGTTTAGGGTTTAGGGGTTCAGGGTTTAGGGGTTTAGGGGTTTAGGGGTTTGGGGGTTTAGGGGTTTAGGGTTTAGGGGTTGAGGGTTCAGGGGTTAAGGGTTTAT